TTACCCTTAGCGAAGGGAGGGCAATGGCCTCTTGATGCTCTTCGATGAAAAGGGATATGCTGAAAAAATAGTACAGGATGCTGCCCTGCTTGGGACTTCAGTCCTGACCTGCTCTCTGAGCCACAGGAATTCCCCACTGGGTCCTTAACAACGAATCCCATTTTGCCTCCTTCCAAGCCAGCAATGTGTCACTGGTACAAAACAAACAAAACAAAAAGCCCAGCAAGCCCAAGGCCAAAAGGGTGGGGACAGAGGGAACCAGTGAAAGGCCGGGGCAGATGTACAGGCCAGACACGGGCCTACACATCAAACACACTCCCAGAACAACTTTCATAATTAGCCACTGTACTGATACAGTAACACCATCTTCTCTTCCTTACTTTGCCCAAAATCTTTTTTCTTTTTTTTTTTTTTTTTTTTTTTTTTGAGACGGAGTTTCGCTCTTGTTTCCCAGGCTGGAGTGCAATGGCGCAATCTCGGCTCACCGCAACCTCCGCCTCCTGGGTTCAGGCAATTCTCCTGCCTCAGCCTCCTGAGTAGCTGGGATTACAGGCACGTCCCACCGTGCCCAGCTAATTTTTTGTATTTTCAGTAGAGACGGAGTTTCACCAGGTTGACCAGGATGGTCTCGATCTCTTGACCTTGTGATACACCCACCTCGGCCTCCCAAAGTGCTGGGATTACAGGCGTGAGCCACTGCACCTGGCCCCCAAAACCTTTTCTCATCCACTTCCACTGTAAGCATAATGAAAGCAAACATCTTAATTCATCTTCCTATTGCCCCCTTACCCATTCATTCCCACCACCACACTTACACACAGAAAGCCTACCAATGTCTTGACTTTTCAGGTCCTTTTGTGCTGACATGACGAACATGCAAAAGATGAGCTTCTTTTTAAGTCATAGTATTTTGTGGCTATGTCATCGTTAGGTCTCAAGCCTACTCCAGCTGAGAGTGTTGTGGGGCTACTGCTCACTGCTCAAAGTCACAGCTGTCCCTGCCTCATTTCTCTTTCATTAAATCAGCGCAATAACGAAGTTGCTGGAACTCAGGCTTCAACAAGATAATGTAAAGACAGCAGAATCACTGTACCTTCCCACATAGAACTGAAGCTGATAAAGGTGGATAAGCGTGATCCTTGAGCTCCACCCATGCCAGCCACACACATTAGTCCCAGGGATACATTTTCCAGTTCATTGTCCTTGGTAGAACAGCTTGGGATAATCTCATAATCATTCATGTTGGGAATGATTCTTCAGAGGGACCTCCTACTACTTCTTTATTATCTACATAATTTATTTACAACTGTTTAGAGTGTATGTGGGAGCTCAGGTAAAGGGTAAAAAGTGTTGAATAGGATATTGAAAGATACCTGTATTTTTACACGAGTTGTTCCAGAAATATTTTATACTTATAAGTAAGTCATTTTCCTCTAAGTTTTCCTAATAGCATTGCTATTAAAATCAGATTCCCAGTGAAAAGGGATTTAATAGGTCTCCTGATTTAAAATTAGCAAGCAACATTACATCACTTTTGTAGATGCCTCATCTCCTGATCTCCAACCTGAAATTTAACTTCTCAAAGCCCCTATAGCATTAGAATTTAATGTAATATTCATTGCTTGTAAGCCTTCACCTACTGATCAATTTACACCTCTCAAAACTAACATGCAACAGCTGCACAACAATGTTCACTTTGCCAAAGAGGAAAGAGTCAAGCAAACCACTGTTGAGATATCAAGTTCACTACAACTTGGGGAAATAATCTAACATCTGCCTAGAAGGCTGCATAGCATAAGGATTAAAAACCCTGCATCCGCAGTTACTACATGCATGTGTGACTTTAAGATGTCTTTTAGGTAAGAAGCTTGATGGAAATGGAAATACGCAGAAAGATGTTTACTGTACTCTTAATAATAACAGGTAAGAGATCAACCAGAAGTAGCCTGAACATACTATAGGGATTATTTCATAAATTCATGTATAGAAACCTGATGAAATAAACTCATAAAATGATTAAAATTATATTAGCTGTGGAAACCCAGAAGTATTTGCTGTAATCTTTTTTTCCAAAGAAAAAAATCAAATTATATATACCATTGTGTTATAAAAATATGTGTATAAGTGAAAAAAATTAAAGTTTATAAGGACAATTAGGTCATTTATTCAACAATTTATCTGAGGGTCTACTGTTAGGATCTGGGTCAAATGCTAAGGCTAAAAGGGTTAAAATAAATATCTGGCCTCTGCCTTCATGGAATTTATAGCTGAATATAACTAAGTGAAGGCTGGCCACAGTGGACCACACTTGTAATCCCAGCACCTTGGGAGGCTGAAGCAAGCAGATCACCTGAGGTAAGGAGTTCAAGACCAGCCTGGCCAACGTAGGGAATCCCCATCTCTATTAAAAATACAAAAATTAGCCGGGTGTGGTGGCACATGCCTATAATCCCCGTTACTCAGGAGGCTGAGGCATGAGAATCACTGGAAACCAGGAGGCGGAGGTTGCAGTGAGCTGAGATTGCATCACTGGACTCCAGCCTCGGCAACAGAGCAAGATTCTGTCTCAAAATAAACAACTAAGTGAAAATAACTGTTATATAAATAATGTGATTATATCTTTTCTAAATAATAATACTAATATATTTGTATTCTAGTAATATAATCTAGCTTTTATCTGACTAAGTGTATACTACAAAGTCTACGTTGAGGACCAGACATTTATAACACGAACGTCAAGAAATGACAAGCAAAACAACTATTGTTCCAAATGTTGGCAGTGCATGATCCCTAATGCTGCCCTTTGCCAGCTATCTTGCGAGGAGGAAGAAGTCATGCTGCTGAGGGGCATGTGGTAGGGCTCTCCCTTATTCCTGGAGGTGCCCTAACTATACCTCAGCCAAGTGACAGGCAAGGCTGGACCATCTTTCATCACAAAACTGAGGGCCGAAGGAGACCAGCCACCTCCACACTCCCCTCTGATTAACACTCCTAAAAAAGCAAGCAAAGAGAATGACCACTTGGCATATATATGCTCAGAAAGACTGCCAATGTGATCACAATGATGTATGCTTCGTGTAAATTCCACATGCAGAGACAGCTTGTCTAAGGACTCTGCACCCTGCCCAGCAATTTCTCCAAAAGGAACTCTTGTGAACCCAGGCAAACTAAAGTCCCACGATGAATCCGGCAATCATTCAGCTTAACTTCTAGTGACAGCCTTCTTTTTGTGGGGGTAACATTGTCCTTTTGTTTCACAGCTACGTCTGTGCTAGGACCTGCTACTTAAGTAGACAAAGCGAATAAAATATACCTTCTAGAAATACAGATATAACTGCTAGAACTATAAAAGAAAAAGAAAGGGAAGAGGAACAAGAGGAATGTGATTGTGGAGACGTATGAAGGGGATTAAATCCCTGCTTCTCAGAGCATGGTCCATAGACTTTAGCAACAAGGACATCACCTTCAAATCTCTTAGAAATGCAAATCTTACACACAACCCAAGACCTGCAATTAATAAGATATCCAGACGTTTGCTGTAGACTTTCAAGTTTGGGAATCACCATTCTAAGTGTTTGTAATATTGTATTTTGAGTACCCAGAAACAGGGTATAAAAATACTTCTAAAATGTAATACCTTCTAAAATATATATACATATTTACATATTCTTTTGATTACATGACATATCTCTAATCCAGCCTACAAAGGGACCACACATCTATAAACTGGAAAATACAGGGGTCTTTAAAAGGTGGGGGGTGGGAGGATTTATAAGAATCAGACCTTCAAACAATAAAAACTCAGATATAGATAAAACTGCAGAGGTCATATAACCTAACCTCCTCATTTTATGGAAGGAGAATCCTTCTGATTCAGAAAGGAACACGCTTTCTCCAGGGACAGATTGCCAAATTACTGAGGCAACATCAGATTACGGTTCAAGTCTCCTGATTCCCAGTAATGTTCTGCATCCTGCCAAAACACTAGTTTAGGGAATCATGACTGATTTGTTTTCTTTAAAAACAAATATTCAAGTTAAAAAAGAATTAAGAGGAAAAAAAGTAAGATAATTTTTAAAACCAGTGCCTGGTATATTTAATAGTAGATACCTTAAATATAGTTGAATGAATGATTCAAAGCAGGGCTGACCTAAGTTACAGAATGATTAAGTCATTTCCTTATGGAAAAAAAAAAAAAAAACAGAGCTTCGATTTAAAAACAATTCATAGTATTTTCAGTGGCTCATGCCTATAATCCCAGCACTTGGGGAGACAGAAGCAGGTGGATCACCTGAGGTCAGGAGACCAAGACCAGCCAGGCCAAAATGGTGAAACTTCGCCTTTAGTAAAAATACAAAAATTAGCTGGGCATGGTGGCAGGTGCCTGTTATCCCGGCTACTCAGGAGGCTGAGGCAGGAGAACCACTTGAACCCGGGAGGTGGAGGTTACAGTGAGTCAAGATTATGCCACTGTACTCCTGGGCAAGAGCGAGACTTTCAAAAAAAAAAAAAAAAATCCACAGAAACACAAAATCACCCTTAAAGTTTCATCAAAGTCAGAAAATATTTTAAATGTTTATTATTTAGGTGTGTGCCTATTTGATTTCGGTAAAATAAATATTAGAAGTAAAACTTTCTAAATTATTACTTAAGATATTGAAGAACAGGGGCCGGGCGCGGTGGCTCAAGCCTGTAATCTCAGCACTTTGGGAGGCCGAGGCGGGTGGATCACGAGGTCAAGAGATCAAGACCATCCTGGTCAACATGGTGAAACCCCCGTCTCTACTAAAAACACAAAAAATTAGCTGGGCATGGTGGCGCGTGCTTGTAATCTCAGCTACTCAGGAGGCTGAGGCAGGAGAATTGCCTGAACCCAGGAGGCGGAGGTTGCGGTGAGCCGAGATCGCGCCATTGCACTCCAGCCTCGGTAACAAGAGCGAAACTCCATCCCAAAAAAAAAAAAAAAAAAAAAAAAGATATTGAAGAACAATAGTACTTACCAATACTAATTTCATCATCTGTTTCAGCATCACCAATACATTCAAATTGGAAATCTTGTAATGACTGGGAAAATTTCTGCACTGCCATAGACAGATCTGCAATCAAAAGCAAAAAAAAAAAAAAATCCATAAGGTGAGGTTCCACCGAATCCTGAACAGTTTCCAATGTAACATTATATAACTTTGATTTTAGTTTTATATTAACCAGGATCCTTTAAAATACCAGGTTTTTTAATGTAACCAAAATTTAAAGACACTACTGTATAAATGCTGAAAATGGATCTGGTCTGCTCTACACAGCGGAGACTTACTACTTTAAGAGAGTGTATTATCTGGAAGCCAGTTTACCAAAGCCTTTCTCAAGGAACTACCACTCACTCACCATAAACGGAGCATTTTTAAGTTCCAGGATACAGGGGTAAGATGTGCAAGGTTGTTACATAGGTAAATGCATGCGATGGTGGTTTGCTGCACCTATCACAACCCATCACCTAGGTATTAAGCCCAGCATGCATTAGCTATTTTGCCTGATGTTCTCCATCCCCCCACACCTACTCCGAAAACAGGCCCCAGTGTATGTTGTTCCCCTCCCCGTGGCCATGTGTTCGCATTGTTCAGCTAATGGAGCATTTTTTTTTAAGACAGAATTCTACTGAGCTTGCTGGTGAAGGAAAAAAAGCCAACAGTTGATTATAAAGAGTCATCAATAATTTTCTGCACAAACTGTGAAAAAAGTAGGAAATGTGTTTTTACCAATAAACTGCCGATTTTGGTCAAGAATGTAAAAGATGACCTGAAAGGCTGTTTACAAATAACTTTGAGAGTCTCATTAAATATGCTCTCCAATCCTGACTTCAGTCTGAACAAGGCTCAGAGTCTGACTAAACCCAGAAAAATAATTGTTTATTTATGGGCAGAAAAAGAAAAGCCCAGAATAATAAGAAGTAAATCCCTGGGAGTCAACAGGTCAGGATGCAACCTAACCAAGTGATTAAAATGCAGGCTCTGGAGCCAGGCTGCCTGGGTGGAAATCCAAGCCCCAACACTTACTTGCCGCGTGACCTTGGACAAATTATTTAACTCCTCTGGGCCTATGATTCCTCACACAGTCAAGCACCGCATAGCAAACAACATATTCCACAGTGGTTCCATTAGACTACTGTAGCTGCCCTACACAGGTGCATCTTTAAAAAAAATCTTTTCTACTGTATTTTTACTGTACCTCTTCTATGTGTGGATATGTTTAGAAATACATACTTGCCATTGTGTTACAATGCCTACAGAATTCAGTAGAGTAACGTGCTGTAAAGGTTTGTAGCCTAGGTGGTATGCCTACTTCCCTATACAGACAAGGTATGTAGTAGGCTATACCATCTAGGCTTGTGTAAGTATATTCTATGATGTTTGTACAATGACAAAACAGCCTAAGGACATTTTCTCAAAATGTGTCCTGGTTGTTAAACAATGCATCATTATATATAAAATGGGAAGATGATATAAACACCTTATAGAATTGTTTTGAGGATTATATAATATTTGCAAAGGGTTTAAACTGTGCCTGGCACTTAATAAACCTGCTTAAGTCTAATAAACAAAAATAAATCAACTTCACAGTACAGCATCAGGTAAATCTTAAAGGTCGCATCTTTCAGAGCTACTCGATCATTTATGTCAACTCAGCCACAGATGTCTACATGAATTAGAAAACAGACTTTTCTGGAATTCACTCTACACTTCATTTAACAGTGTCTCTTTTCCATGGGTTCAGGTCTAATTACCTCAGTCCTTACATTTAATCAAGCAATAGGAACTGATAAATTCTCCCTCCTTGTGCAAATTTTAGTCAGGCCCCTTTAAGCCCTCTTTTTGACTAGGCCTCCACCTTGTCCCTGAACCTTGCTCGGCCTGAGAGCCCAGTTTTAGCAAGGATCCTATTAAGCCAGTCTAGAAAGAATCCCCTACCCTCAGTATCTGCTCAAATTCCTCATCCCCCACCTTTGATGGAGAAGTCTGTGGCCTATCTTCAGCAGGAATCCTACCATTGATATCTCTTCTTAGTCATTTTCAATCCACCCAATATCCCACATCCTGCTTTTTGGCTGTAAATTCCCACATGTTCTTGTATTTAGAGTTGAGCGAGAGCTCTCTCATCTACTGACATAGTCTTCATGCCTGTGTGATAGTCCTGAATAACATCTTCCTTACCATTCTTACAAATGTCAAAGTATTTTTTATTTAACAAAATAATTTTGGTCCTATGCCTAGACATAACCCCAGGACTTACTGTGGCAGCCCCCACATTCATGAAACCCCAAGCCTAAATACCTATCAACGTGGGCACTCAAGAGTGAATAGATCTACAAACACGAAGGTCACATGTTGTACCACTGTCAGCTAAAGAACTTCCAATTCACTCATCAAGGACAATTCGGTAGACCACCAACCTCAAGTTTGAGAGAAGCTTTTCTTTTTAAACACACATTAGACAGTTTGATTTTTAATTCTGAGTGCTCTCCCTGGGACTTGGGAAAAGCATTCCATTTAACACCCCTTTATTTGTATATATAGTATAAAATCAAGGCCTTATGCTTTGCTGGGTTTAAGGTCCCAAATGCAATTCCTACAGCAGAGTTGAGACTGGGGATACAAGGCAGATCAAGATGCTTGGGAACCCTGCAATGGACATCCTTCCTTCTCTTCCCTCCTCACCACCACCAAGAGTTCTTCTGAACTTCCCTCAAACTCAGAGGAGCTAATTGGAAGCTCTGTCCTAGGGAATTGATGACACAGCCTCCCATTTCTTCCCAGACTGTTCTTGACTTACCAAGGCCTTGCACTTTGACTGAAAAAGGTAGTGTTTTGTCCCTTCACAGAGCTCACTGTGAATGCATGACAGTAATTCCCATCCCCAACAAGAACACAGTGGCCCACTTAAAGGCTATTCTGTCAAATCATTCAGTATAAGCGCTGAAGGCAGATTAACTGCGTTAGAATCCTGCTTCTACCAATAATTAGTTGGTCATGACTGTGGGTAAGTTCCATAACCTCTCAGTATCCTCATCTGTTAAGTGAAACCACCTCTCAGGTTTATAGTGAGGAGAATATGAGTTAATATAGATAAAAGAACTTAGAACAGTATCAAACAAACAGAAAGCACTCAGAACATGTTGACTATGTACATGTTCAAACTCTAAGAAAGGAAAAAGAAAAATTACAGTTATGAAGATGGCAATTCTTGGACCTTAGATAACCTTGGAAAGTGCTCAAGACAATCTGCTGATAGCAGTTTGAATTTTCTTGCTACGCTGCAAAGCCATCAAGCTGTGACAGTATTATTATTCAGCATTTCTGTGAAAGAGACGGGTGTCTATTTCAACACTGGATGGACTGAAGAACGCATGAATGATCCCTTCACAGTCCTCTGAAAGCATAATGAGAGACAGGATTATACATGAAAATATGGCTCCCAACTAGTTCAAATAATTCTAAGAACGAAGGGGAAGTCTGAAATATGACACATTTTCAACTTCAAGTGTGTTCGAGTTCTTGATCTTCTTCCTACTTATTCTCATTTTCCTAATGCCGAAGTAATGAAGATGTCAAAAAAACCATCAAGTAAAGAATTTAGGATATTTTCTGGCTGTAATAATAATCAGTCTCTAAAATAAAGAATCCAGCTCATGCTTTTAATCTTGGCTCCATCTACTACTGAGTGTGCAATTTTGAATTAGAAAGCCCAACATCTTCCATTAATTTAAAATCACATGAGACACAGTATTTTCCTAATTGTCTAACCAAAGTTTCTAAACCACTACCAAGCAAAAAAACAGAAGAGCTGTTTCTAAAACCTTTTAAATAAAGTCCATCCACATAATAGAAAGACCTTGATTTTAAAACCTAATAAATTTTTTGATTTTTTTCTTGAATTTTAATGTATCACACTAAAGAGTCAACTTTTTCTCTTAAATATAAGATGAAAGATCCCATGCCATCAATCTAGTTTAGACAGGGATGTCTCACCCTATTACTAACCAACATTCATTTATTGGTGAGCAAGTTGTACACAGTAAAGATGCTTCACATCATACACAAACACACACACACACACACCACATCCTTCCCATTTACCTAACTTGAAAGTTAAGCATCGAGTGTCTTCACATGCATTCACGTTATAACTCTGAAGAAGTTATACTGGGCTTTAATTAGTCAACAATGTTTTCATATGAGAATTAACCTCAAGCTTCCATGATTAGAGGATGCTAATGAAACACTAAAACTTCATTTCATTAGAGGAATACAAAACACCTATAATTAAATAAATATTTAGTTACAACTTTTCTTGCGCACAGATTTAAGAACTAAGGTCTCCTGTGACTTTAGAAGCGTTTTGCTTTTACAATGTTAGTTAAGGAAGCGAGCTATATATATTTACGTCACAACAAGTACAACCAGTTAGTCCATTAGCATAAGGTAGTTCTTCCCAAAATCCAAATTCTCTGGGATTAGATTTAAGGAAGACTCACAGGAGCAATTTGTCTAGATATGTGGAATTACCATCTTTTCACACACAGAGGCAGACATTGTAAAGCAATGAGAACACAAAGGTTAAAACAGAATATATCCTTTCCTCCTAAAGGGCACAGTCAGTAGGACTATGAAGCATGTAATTAATCATAACAGAGGGTAATCGATAAATTCTCTGACAGAGATTAATAACAACCATACTTAGTACCTTAGTACCTGATACTTTTGTAAGCATTTAATATAAATTAACCCATTAGTCCTCACCATAGCCGCAAGAACTAAATACCATCACTCCAATTTTACAGATTAAGAAACTGAGGCACGAGTAAGTTAAGTGACTTCACCAAGGTGACAGTGACACACAAGCTAGTAAACAGCAGAAGCAAGATTTCAACCCAGGGTGCAAGCTAGAACACCCACTTCAGCACACTGCCATACTGGGGTGCACATAGACCTTAAATCAAAGTGGCAAATAAAAAGGCACGATCCGTTTGGCTTGAGTGTGTAGGGGTAGAGTTGTTAGAACACTCCATAAGAACAGGGACTTGAAAGGTGTAACAATGTACCAG